TTCTCACCATTTGATTCAGGTTATACATGTGCAAGGAGATCCAACCAGTCCATCCTAAAAGAGATCAGCCCTGGGTGTTCATTGGAAGGACTGATGCTGAAGCTGAAACTCCAATACTTTGGCCACCTGACAGGAAGAGCTGACTCATTGGAAAAGACCCTGATGCTGGGAGGGATTGGGGGCAGGAGGAGAAGGGGACGACAGAGGATGAGATGGCTGGATGGCATCACTGACTCGATGGGCATGAGTTTGAGTAAACTCTGGGAGTTGGTGATGGACAGGGAGGCCTGGCATGCTGCAATTCATGGGGTCACAGAGTCGGACACGACTGAGCGACTGAACTGACTGACTGACTGTGCAGCAGAACCATCACTGAAGTAATATCATGTTCTCTCTGGTACATCATATCAGTGGGTACATAATGCTGCTTTTCTCCCCCCCGTTATTGGGAATACTAACTTCCATCATTTTTCTTTAGTAAACAGTTACCATTTTCTCTTTGTAATTAATAAATAATAACAAAAATAGCTTTTCTTAGTTTCAGTTTTTCTTTGCCAAAACGTCTACAGTAGCCCTGATATGAGGTCTAAAGTGGGAACTGAGCTTCTTCTAGAAGGTAATCCCAGTCTCCTCAGTCTATTGTCCTCTGTCTCTTCTTTTTCTCTTACATTTTGATTGAGGTATAATTTATATCTTAAAAAAATTTTTTTTTAAGATTTTGTTTGATGTGAATCATTTTTAAAGTCTTTGTTGAATTTGTTACAGTATTGCTTCTGTTTTGACTTTTTGGCTGCAAGGCATGTGAGAAACTATCTTCCTGACCAGCATTTTTACATATGTTTATACCAATATATCCACCACTACAAAATACAGAATATTGCCTGCCAACTCGCTGGCTAAGTTCTTTGTGCCCCCTTAATAGGTAATTCTCTTTCCACAAAGGCAATCACCATTTTATTATTTTTTTGAGTGAAAGAGTCTTTAAATTTCATAGTGCGTCACAGTTTTCAAAAGTTTCACACAGATGATTTCATTTAATTCCATAATAACCTCCTTTTCCCCCTCTACTCCTGTATTTCCCATTCCCTATTCTCTCTTTCCCTGGTAATTGCAAATTTGTTCCTTATATCTGTGAGTAGCAGGCACCATTTTAACCTCTACCATTGTAGATGTCTTTTGCTGTGTTTCATAAATGTGTTTGTTGTTGAACCTCATTTAACAAAATAATTCAGATGCACTTTTGTGCCTGGTTTCTTTCACTCAGCATTATTCCTGTGGGATTCATCATGTGAGTTTGTAGCAGTAATTTAGTCTTTTTCATTGCTGTGTAATATTCCACAGCATGACCATATCATAAGTTATTTTTTCTACTCTTGTTGGACATTTGAGTACTTTCTAGTTTCTATCTATTATTAATAAAACACTATATATGTTTGTAAATTTTCTTTTAAAATATTATTTATTTATTTATTGGCTGCATCAGATCTTAGTTTGTAGTACACAGGATATTCTTTCTGGTGCGTGGGCTCTTTGGTTGTAGCATGTGAGCTTAGTTGCCCCTTGGCATGTGGGGTCTTAGTTCCCCGACCAGGGACTGAATCTAAATTCCCTCCATTGGAAGGGAGATTCTTAACCACTGGACCACCAGTTGTACGTTTTAAAATGCATATAAACACTTTTTTAAAAAACATGCTTTTGTTGCATATCCAGGAGTAAAATTTCTAGGTCCTCTTTATTTACTTTCCTTCACTGATGAACCTCTCTAAAGGTTGATCTGTCCTTTTGCTGTTGCCACATCCTCATTTTCCATTAATGTCTCATTGAACTGTGCCTGGCTTCTGCCTTTCCTATTGGAGTTACTCCTGATCAGGCCAGCAGTGAACTCCCACTGGCTAAATCCAATGTCCCTTTTGGCTTCTCCTCCACCTGACCTATCTGCAACACTTGATAGCACTGACTACTTTTTCTTTGGTTTCTGTGCATGACTTTCTCTTGGTTTCTTCCTACCTCTCTTGTTGCTCCTCCTCAGTCTTGTTCATATGACTCTTCATCCCATGCCTTCCCCTTAAATTTTGTTTTCCCTAGGATCTAGTGACACAGGAAAACCCATCTTCTCCTTCTCCATTATGGGTCTCAAATTAGTGGACCACCCAAGACTTGTTTTGATTGGCCCCCTCAATATTTTAATAATGTTTACCACAAATGTCTTTAGACATAGGAAATATTACCTTCAATTCTCACGCAGTAACCACTGCTTTTTATGGTTTTGGTCTGAGCTAGTTCATACATCTACACTATATTCCTAGCCTCCGAAAGCATTAGAATCTACAACTCCTCCTCTGATGTTTGGGTTTCCCTGGTGGCTCAGTGATAAAGAATCTGCTTGCAATGCAGGAGACACAGGCTCGATCCCTGGGTCAGGAAGATCCCCTGGAGAAGGACATGGCAACCCACTCCAATATTCTTGCCCAGGAAACCCATGGACAGAGGAGCCTGGTGGGCAACGTCCATGGGTTTGCAAGATTTAGACACAACTTAGTGACTAAATGACTACCACCGCCACCTTTAATGTTTTCCTTGAGAGATGTTATCTTCTTCTATATCTTCTATATCTTCTTCTATAATTTCAATTGCACATGCTCCAAATCTCGAGTTTTCACCCCTCTCCGACCCTGCAGACCCATGTTTTTAGCCCTTTGTTAGGCGTCTCCATTTAGACATCCCAGAGGCCCCTCACACTAGTATGTCCGCGTGAACCTATCCTCTTTCCCACCAGGCCCTCTCCCTTTCCTGTACTCACGGTGAATGGCACCATGATTCCTGCACGGTTCCGAGCTTGGTGTCACCTTGGACGCCTCCTTCCTGTCCCTCACCTTTCACATCTCTTTGCTTGTCTAATACCATTGTTTCCTCCTTTCAAATATTTTTCTGAAAGCTTCCTCCTTTCCATTGCCACTTGCATTGTCTTTTTTTTGTCTAGATCATTCCTCATTCTGCAAATATTTATCAAATGCCTACTAAGAGTTGAGCAGTATTCCAAGCCCTGAGGTCAAAGCAGGAAGCACAAAATTAACAAGTAAAAAAATACATCCCCTAGAGAGCTTTAGGTAGTTATCAATATTACAAAGAATGACTGGGGTGGTGGGTGTGTGGGTAAGGCTACTTGAAATTGGGTAGTCACAGAAGACTTCTTGGAGGAGGTGATTTTTGAGCTGATACCTGAATAGCCCTGATAAGGAGTGAGCTACACAGAAATCTGGGTACAGAGTTCTCCAAGCAGAGGGAAAGCAAATGCTTGAGACAGAAGACAGGAAAAACTCAGTGTTTGAGGGACAGGAAGATTGCTGTTGGGGTTGGGGCACAGTGACTGAATGGAGAGGTAAAGCAGAGACCAGATAATACAGGATCTTGCACTTTGCTGTAGATTGAATGTTTGTGTTGCTCCCAGATTCATATGTTGAAAAAGCTAATGCCCAAGGTGATGGTGTTTGGAAGTGGGGCCGTTGTCAGGTGATTAGGCTATAAAGGAGGAGACCTCACAAATGGGATTAGTGCCCTTATAAAAGAAGCTATGATCAACCTAGACAGCATATTAAAAAGCAGAGACATTACTTTGCTGACAAAGCCCCGTCTAGTCAAAGCTATGGTTTTTCCAGTAGTCATGTATGGATGTGAAAGTTGGACTATAAAGAAAGCTGAGCACTGAAGAACTGATGTTTTTGAACTGTGGTGTTGGAGAAAACTCTTGAGAGTCCCTTTGACTGCAAGGAGATCAAACCAGTCAATCCTCAAGGAAATCAGCCCTGAATATTCATTGGAAAGACTGATGCTGATGCTGAAACTCCAATACTTTGGCCACCTAATGAGAAGAACTGACTCCCTGGAAAAGACCCTGATGCTGGGAAAGATTGAAGGTGGGAGGAGAAGGGGACGGCAGAGGATGAGATGGTTGGATGGCATCACAGACTCGATGGACATGAGTTTGAGCTAGCTCCGGGAGTTGGTGATGGACAGGGAAGCCTGGCATGCTGCAGTCCATGGGGCTGCAAAGAGTCAGACACGACTGAGCGACTGAACTGAACTGAAAAGAAGCCTGAAAAAGCTCCCTTGCCCCATGCATCTTGTAAGGTTACAGTTATTAATAGAAGGCACCACCTGGAATCAGAAAGTGGACCTTACCAGACACTGAATCCTGTGGTATGATGATCTTGGACTTCCCAGCCTCCAGACCGTAAGATATAAATGTTTGCTGTTTATGAGTTACTCAGTGAATGGCATTTTGTTATAGCAGCCTGATGGACTGACATACAGCCCATAATAAAAAGTCTTGCCTTTTTATTCTAGACATAATGGGTGGCCATTGGAAGGTTTTGAGCAGGGCAGTGATCTGCTCTGCCTGATGTTGTTGAAGGCCATTCAGGATGCTGTATGAAGTCAGCAGGGACTTCCCTGGGGGTCCAGTGGTTACAACATCGCTTTCCAATGCAAGGAGTGCAAGTTCAATCTCTAGTCAGGGTGCTAAGATCCCACATGACTTGCGGTCAACAAACCAAAACATAAAAGAGAAACAATACTGTAACAAATTCAATAAAGATTTTTTAAATGGTCCACCTTAAAAAAAAATCTTAAAAAATCTTTTAAAAACAGAGCCAACAGTAGGAGGTCAGGGAGATAGGCTGTGAGGTGCCTTAGATTGGGTTCACCCAGAAACACTGCATCAAACATTAAGTGTGCAGAATTTATACACTCTTGGGGAGGGAATCCCAGAAAATGCCGGTGGAGACACAGGGAAGCGGGACAGGGGAGGGAAAGGATCGATGGAAGATGCACTGAGTTACCCTGTGGATAACCAGAGCTTGTGTGCCCAGGGAGCTCTGGGTCCAATGCAGAGCATCTACCCTCAAGTTATCTCGTCCTGGGGATGAAGAAGTTGGGTGTTTATACCAGCTCCCTGCAGTCAGTGGTTGGGGCAGCTGCTGGAGTGACTGGCAGAGGTGCTGATGCTCCACCCCATGCTGCTGTGTGGGGAGCGGGGGTCCCCCTACCTAAGAAAGCCCTCGGGCAAAGAGACGCAGGTGTGGCAGCAGTGGGGAGGCCCAGCAGCGATGCTGAGCACATGTGATCCGGACACGTGGGAGGCGGATGGTATGGATGTGGGAGCTTGCTCTGTGAGGGGGTGGAGATTCCCACAGGGAATCTTGCAGAAAGGAGCCTGGAAAGGGAAACCTCATGGCTGTTGCCTATTTGAGGAGCACCCCTTGAGAACTCCTTGGGACTCCTGGAAATGACTGGAAGGTGCACTAGGCCTGTCTTTCAGCAGCCACGTGGCTCTGAAGTTGCTGACAGGGAAGAGAACCAGTGAACCGTGCTCCATTACGTTCCATGCACTTCATTCTTTCTCTAGCCCCAGGCCCAGGAAAGGAAGCTGTATTTGGAGTCTGTTTTTCTCTGTGACTGGCCTGGATCTCAAGTTCAGACCACGCCTCTCCAACCTGGTTTACGTTTCGGAACACTGAACGCATTTACCTCCCCAACCTCTGACCTCAGCTCAGTCCTCTGGACTCAAAGCACCACCTCCGTCCCCACACACCCCTCTTTCTCTGTCATCTGACCCGGTCACAACCTCCTGCCGGCACACTGCCTCATCTTGCCAGCCTGGCATAACTCCCAGAAAGGCTGCCCTTGGCTTGTCCTATTTCATTTCTCTCCCTAATTTGACACTGACATTGACAGATAAAGACAAGGGAGCAGCCAAACACCAGGGCATAGCCAGTATCATTCAAGCGCCACCAAATTAATCCTCGGGATTCAGGATCACATTGGCCTGCCGTGCGAATCTCCACTGCGTGGAACAGAAGTGGAGAGAGGATTCTGGAACTGACATTTGGAAGAGCCATTTGCCCAACTAGACAACCCCGATCTCTAGAGTGGGGGCTCTCAGAGCCTAGTTTCTGGAGAGGAGAGAAGAAAATCTTGACATCAGGGAGGAATGAGAAGAGATAGAAAATGCGAAGGTCTTGGGACTTCCCTGGTGGTTCAGTGGTTAAGACTCTGCACTTTCAGCGCAGGGGATGTAGGTTTGATCCCTGGTCAGAGAACTAAGATCCCACATGCCATGTGGTCAAAAACTGAATTAGAGTATATTTGCTTTATAACGTTAGTTTCTGCTGTGCAACAACGTGAATCAGCCCTATGTAAACATACATGCCCTCCCCCTTTAGCCTCCCTCCCACCCACAATCCTTCCCACCTCCTAGGTCATCACAGAGCCCCGAGCAGAGCTCCCTGCGCTATACAGCATCTTCTCACTTGGTATTTTACACAATAGTGAATATATGTCAAGGCCACTCTCTCAATTTGTCCCACCTCCAGCACACTCTTGAAAAGTGAAAAAACACCTACTGTGAGAGAGGATTCCAGCTAACTTCAAATTGGTAGAGGAGCTGGCTTGAATGCCCTTAATGGTCGCGGTGGGAGCAGAACTGGGGGGCCCCCGAGAAACCTTCTGGACATGAACGAGCATGCCCGGAGTTGTTCCTGGACTTGACCCAAATCTGGCAACTCTGAGACTTGCTGGCTGCCTGCCCTTGCTGGTAATGACTGGCCTTGGGGAAGCACCCATCGTCTCAGAGCCTCGTTTTATCCTCATCTCCTTTCTAATAAGCCTTTATCTAAATGCTAATGTGATTCCAACTTTTTGATTAGGATATTATATAGTCATCCATTCCAGAAAGACCACAATTAACAAGTGATTTTATTTCTGACTCAACATTTCTTTGTTTGGTAAGTTCATCTGTTGTGTGATGCTCCTAGTGGAAGTGGGAAGAAGGAGCCACTCCTTATGGGTGGGGGGACCTCTGCCAAGTTTTCTTAAAGGAAAGGTGTTGACTTTTTATCATCGTGGGTAGGGGGTGATAGTGGAGGGAGTGTGTGGTGGTGGTGTGATATTTCACCCGAAAATATTTTTCTAAAACATGTTGGCAGCTAAATTTGGCCATGTTTGTGGGATTGGGTGGAGTTTTACTTAAAGGGACAAGGCAGGCTGTGCATTATCTCAGAATTTGCACTGAAATTGAGTTATGCATGTTAAAGAGACCACTAAGAGACAGTCTGATTCACAGAAGCAGTTACGTGCATCCTAGCTTACTGCATGCTAGCTGTGTGACTTTGGGCAACTTACCTAATCTCTCTGGACCTTTGTTTTGTCATTTAAACAATACTACCAACTCCTGGGTTTCCTTGGTGGCACTAGTGGTTAAGAACTCTCCTGCCAATGCAGGAGATGTAAGAGACTCGGGTTCAATCCCTGGGTCAGGAAGATTCCCTGGAAGAAGGCATGGCAACCCACTCCAAAATTCTTGCCTGGAGAATCCCATGGACAGAGGAGCCTGGGAGGCTACAGTCCATAGTGTTGCAAAGAGTCGGACGTAATTGAAGTGATTTAGCGTGAGTTCATGCGTGCACATACACACACCCAAAACTCCTATGGCAATCGGGGGGCTAAAATTAACTGAGTTAATATTTGTAAAGCATTTAGAATAGAGCCCAGTGTACAGGACATCCCATGAATTATATTATATTTTTCTGCCTCTAAGAATAGAATCTTCCATCTGTAGAATACCTACTAAATGTCAGGCACTGTGCTAAGAACTTTATATTCATTTACCTTGTTTAATCCTTAAGGATACAGAGTAGTATTATGATTTCTGTGATAGCTTTATGTGTCAGCTTGGTTATCATATAGTACCTAGTTATTTACTCAGGCATTCATCTAGGCATTGATGTGAAAGTATTTTGTACATAAAGCTAACATCTACAATCAGTTGATTTTCACTAAAGTAAATGACTAGCAATAATGTGGGTGGGTCTCATCCAATCAATTGATAGCACAAATTGCAAAAGCTGAGCTTCCCTGGGCTTCCCAGGTGGCGCTAGTGGTAAAGAACCTGCCTGCAATGCAGGAGACATAAAAGACATGGGTTCAATTCCTGGGTCTGGAAGATCCCCTAGAGGAGAGCATGGCAACCCACTCTGGTGTTCTTGCCTGGAGAATCCCATGGACAGAGGAATCCATAGGGTTGCAAAGAGTTGGGCATGACTGAAGTGACTTAGCACAGAGCTTTCTTGGAGAAGAAATTCTGCCTCAAGACTGCAGCATTGGGACTTCCCTGGTGGTCCAGTGGTTAAAAACCTGCCTTCCAGTGCAGGGGACATGGGTTCCATCCCTGGTGGGGGAACTTATATCCCGCATGCCACGGGACGACTAAACCCATGAGCTGAAACTAAGACCTGGTGCAGTCAAATAAATAAATACTTAAAAAAAAAGAAGACTTCAGAATCACCTTCTGCCCAAGTTGATAGCCTGCCCTACACATTCCAGACTTACCAGCCCCCACAATTGTGTGAGCATATGTGTGTGTGTGTACATATATGAGAAAAGTAATGATCAGAGAAATTAAGTAATTGTACAAGGTCACATAGCCAGGAAGTGGCAGCATCTGAATCCCAGTTCCTCACACTACGAAGCTTACTTTCCATTATAGGATGCTGTCTACTGGGTCATAACATTGAGGGTTAGAGGACTTGTGATTTCAGGTCATTTAATAAAGAATGAATGGAGGAGAAAATGGCAACCCACTCCAGTATTCTTGCCTGGAAAATTCCATGGACAGAGGAGCCTGGGTGGGGGGCAAGGGGAGGGTTGGGTAGTATAGTACATGGGGTTGCAAAGAGTTGGACACGACTAAGCGCATGCACACAGTGCACAGTGAAGAATGGAATGCTCTCTTACCCTCCAACTCTGAAGAAAGAATCTAGAGGAGTGCAATTCCTTTGACCATTTGGGCTGTTTTATATTCTGGTGGCATGTGGAACTGGGAGCAGGGGAGAAAGAAAAAGGAAGGATAAAGATTTTCATCACTGGGGTTTTCGGTTGCAAGCATCAGAAAATGATTTCCCCCAAGTTGCACAAAAAGGAAAGGATTAGAAGAATATTGCTGAGGGGACTTTTCATAGGAAAAGGTGTTGTGCAGGTTGGACCATGAGAGCCCTGGGAACAGTCTCACCGCAGGGACAGCCTGGTGAGCCCACCACGGCCTCAGAGACTCACCTGGAATCTGCTTTTCCTTCTGTCTGTGGGTGAGGTGCTCAAGAGGACATCAGCCCAGTTGAGCAGCTTAGGTCATACTTGCCCCAGTCTATACCTGGACCCAGAAGCAGGAGCTGGGCTTAGACAGGGAGGGGTGCTAGGAATTCCCATCCACAGAAAACAACGGAGGCTCCATTTCCCTAAAGAAAATTGGGGTCCTAGGAAAAAGAGAGATAGCCTCATTGCTTGATAGCCAAAATGATTAATGACCATTATAGCTTGTTGTTGTTGAGTCACTCAATTGTGTTTAATCTTTGCGACCCCATGGACTGCAGCATGCCAGGTTTCCCTGTCCTTTTCTATCTCCCAGAGCTTGCTCAAACTCACGTCCATTGAGTGGGTGATGCCATCCAACCATCTCATCCTCTGTCATCCCCTTCTCCTCTTGCCCTCAATCTTTCCCAGCGTCAGGATCTTTTCCAATGACTCGGCTCTTCACATCAGGTGGCCCAAGTACTGGAGCTTCAGCTTCAGCATCAGTCCTTCCAGTGAATAGCCGGGGTCAATTTCCCTTAGGACTGACTGGATGGATCTCCTTGCTGTTTAAGGGACGCTTAAAAGAATCTTATAATGAAACTATTTCAGGATAGGGACTTCCCTGCTGGTCCAGTGGCTGAGACTCCGTGCTTCTCAATGCAGGGGCCTGGGTTTGAACCCTGCTCAGGTAACTGGATCCCACATGCTGCAACTAAGAATTTGCATGCCACCACAATAAAGATTAAGGATCCCAAGTAGGACCAGGCACAGTCGAATAAATAAATATTTCAGGATGCACAACACTGTAAAGCAACTATTCAGTTCAGTTCAGTCGCTCAGTCGTGTCCGACTCTTTGTGACCCCATGAATTGCAGCACGCCAGGCCTCCCTGTCCATCACAAACTCCCGGAGTTTACTCAAACTCATGCCCATCGAGTCAGTGATGCCATCCAGCCACCTCATCCTCTGTCGTCCCCTTCTCCTCCTGCCCCCAACCCCTCCCAGCATCAGGGTCTTTTCCAATGAGTCAACTCTTCACATGAGGTGGCCAAA